TGTCACGACGTGACACCTGTCAATTAAAGAGTAAAAAAAGCATACGCTTTTGAAGAAACAGCAGTACTGGTGTGACAAACACACACGAGTTAACTGATCATGCGACGATTTTCTCATAAAGAGAAAAACAGAGATCTTACGGAAAGTATTTTTTATTTCCAACGACGATTAATCTTCGAAGATTTACCTCTGTTCCGTTTTAAAATGTCACGGAAAGTCAAATTGCAAGTGAATGCAAATATGTGTTTTGGAGTTGTTAGTCTGCTTGTTTGTTTTCTGTAATGGCGTGTGTAAATCAGTTTTTCTTCCACCGAAAAGCTGAAGTCAATGAGACTCTTTCTACCTAGACACAAGGAGATTTAATGCGACTTTTATTCATCGAATTCCTGCGTTTCAGCCGTGAAATCTACGACGAAAGTGTATTTTAGGATTTTGAACTGGTGCTGATTAAAATTCTTTCTTAGCCTAAACTTATAAATTCGTTTGTATCTGGCGCACGTCAAACCAATTTGTAGCTTAAAGGTCAAAGAGGGATTGTCATTCACTAAATTGGCTCGCCATAAGTCTTGTGATCGCCTTCGTATGAAATTGTTTTTTATGTTGTTGTTGTTGTTAAGTCCGCGTTTTACTAGTCTGTGTTTTACTAGTCCGCGTTTTACTAGTCCGCGTTTTACTAGTCCGCGTCTTACTAGTCCTCGTTTTACTAGTCCGCGTTTTAATAGTCCGCGCTTCACTAGTCCTCGTTTTACTAGTCCAGTCCCTTTTTTCCTACCTTCGGTGAAGTGATTATTTATAAGTTTTAAAATGCTACGTGATCTGGCCGCGAAGATCCTGGTAACGAGGTCACCTGGCATTTCTCATTAATAATCGATGAAACTTAGTCAGGTGTTACATCCTGTGGAATGGAAATTACATAAAAAATTATCGTTTTCCTGAACGATCTTTAATGATTTTCAAGTAATTTGCGATAAAAGTTAGAGGATATTTACTTCGCAGTGTTGGTGCGTGATGAAAATCCCGTCATTTTCAGTTTCGTAAACAAACAAAAAAAGTTGCTTGTGGCTATCTAGAGACATGACGGAACTGATCTCCCGCTTCAGCAATACGTGAAGTTGTCGTCACTTGAGCACTTGTTGTTCAAGCACTCCTAGACTGTCTTGCATGTCTCTGCTCCGTCGTAGCTTCCTATAGTAGAAGAGTGTGTTGGAATTTCTCTTCTGCCATGGGGTTTCGTCATTGAAAAGCAGCGATTCCTTCGCGTGTGTGATGATATGGCGGTCTTCGGCAGAAATGCTTACGTAATTGGATGCGAAGTCAAGGACACGTCGTAGGAGATCTTCTGTTATGGAAGCTTAGAATTCCACAACAACGAAGGTAATAAAAGCGGAGTCGCGTTTTTTTTGTAGGTTCTTGTACCATTACATACATACATACTTTATTTGAACAGCTCCCTGCCTAGGGCTCTTCCGCCGTCAATGCTAACAACTAATTACATGAATATATCATAATATGGTAAAATTAAAAATTACAGATTTAAAAAATAATTATAGACTTTAGCCTTAAACTTTTTTACATCAGAGGTTTTCTTAATCTCGTTTGGAAGGTTATCATACAGCTTTGCACCCCGAAAAGCAAATGATCGTTGCCCTGTTTATAATCTACAAATTGGGAGGTCTAATTCACCATTGTATCTAGTGTTTCTGTCGTGAATCTTCGAACGCTGAATAAATTTTCCAGTAAGGTAGCTGGGTATCTGGTCATGAATACACTTATGGACCATTAATAAGTCGTTTGTAAGCAGTCTATCGTTCACATTGAGCCAATTTAGAGATTTCAGGCCTTCCGTGACATGGTCGTATTTCTTAAGGCCTAAAACGATTCTACATGTGAAATTTTGGATTAATTGAAGTTTTTTGATGTTTTCTTTTGTCGTCTTGCTCCAAACCGTGGAGCAATAATATAACATACTAAATTTAAGTGTTCATCAAGAAAACAAGAGTTTTACTGTCCCGGAATTGTTTTATCCTATTAACGCGGGTTAACATGTATGTACAGGTTGAAGCAGTTTTCGCGATCTGTTCGTTATAGTTAAGGTGACAATCGATGTGTACACCCAAGTCTTTGGTATCAGAGGAAGGCTTTACTTCATTCCCTAGCAACATTACAGATGGTAAAGTTGGTTTACTTCTTGTAAGTTGCGGAACGCCAACAAAAATTAGTTTTGTCTTGTCGGGGTTGATTAGCAGAGAGTGGGCACAGCACGAACTGGATATATCCCTGAGGTCTTGGTTTACAGCAGCCACAGCTTCCTAAAGCTGACTAGAAAGAAGTGCCATAAAAACTTTGGTGTCATCCACGTAACCCAGTGCTCTACAGTGTTTAGGGACCTGGAGAAGATCGTTCATGTAAAGAGTAAATAGCACGGGGCCTAAGATAGATCCCTGGGGAACCCCTGCCTTCAACGGAAGTAGCTCAGATAGGGAATCCTCTATCTTGACAACTTGCGTACGCTGCGATAAGTAGCTTAGGAACCAAGAACACGTAGCAAATGAAACACCTAATTTATGGAGTTTATCAATTAACAAATCATGACGGATCGGCTATCAAATGCTTTCGACATGTCTAGCAAGACGATTACAGATATTTTCTTATCATTATTGTTCTTCAGCAATTCATCAGTGTAGT